AAGGTGGGAAGTTGCTGCAATGTGTGCAGCTACTCACATACAACCTCCGGGCACGGGAATTACTCCTCTAGCGTGCTGAGCCCGACCTTTGCCTTTAAATTTCAGCCAGTGGCGATACGCAGCTCTTTCGTCGGATAGGAACATGGACGAACAGATGCTTTTGTTAAAGGAACCTTCCCGGGAAAATTATGGTTCTATCTCACCCATAAATCACTGGCTTGAGACCCATCGTTCACGATAAGAACGAAAAGAACAAAAAATTGCATTTGTTTGGTAAACAATTCGAAAACTGGAAGGGCTGCTACGCGTTCAAATTCCCGCCGGACATCTGTCACAAATGCTGGCGGTGGGAATGCTTCCACTGGGTTCATGGAGTGCTGTCACTAGAAACACCTCTGACCTTTCGGCTCATTCCACTAACATCTCACATCTCTACCGCATCCTATTCTATCAATCGTTTTGTCTCTGTCCGAAATCGGACGCATCACAGCTGACGAAAAAGCAAGGGGAAGAAAGCAAGAATTTCCCAGGATTCCTTTAGGCATGCACCAGTGCACTGCCGTGCTTTCGTGAATATGGAAGCTCATGAGTTGTATCTGCATGTTGTCAACAAAATCCCTTCGTACTCATTCACGGTGAGGGGAAAGAGCAGTAGTTGTGTGTATGTTCCCCACTGCAGATCTAATCCCTAACCCACGTACTCAAGAAATTTCGAGCAACTTGTCCATTATTCACTTTTTCGAGGTGCCCGACAACAGGCCCGTCGCGCGGCAAGAAGGCAGGGTCAGCGGACGAGTCGCAGCGCGTGATGTGCGATGTAGGACGTACAGTGGTACATTCTATTTAACTTGACGCGAAATCACTACAGTACGCGCTGCAACTCGTCCGCTGACTGTGCCTTGTTGCCGCGCGACGGGCCTCCTGTCGGGCACCCACTGCTCCACATAAGTCAAGGCCACACCATCAGAAAAAAACGACCCCAGACACATGGCTAGACTGCCCTTTTCGAGTTATGTGACCGCCTTCAATGTTCGTTTACATTCTGTTCTGTCTGTGATACCAGTATATAAGGCTATCCCATCCGTTTGCTACAAGTTGAATTTTCTTATACCGAAAGACTTGTCAAGACTTTGCAGCATGTGCGGATAAGATTAGCCATTGCACGGTGATGTCTCCTAATATACGTAGGTCTACGAGGACAATGACTGATTGCCCTTCCTCTCAAAGTGCCATTAGTCACGGGTAGTCACAAATAATCCAGTGAATAATTGCAAGCCAACGAACAACGCCCACCTTAAAAATAATCTTTAAAGCCTGCAATAAGATCCAAACCCAAGACTCCTAAATTTCCTCACGATTGTAGAGAAAGACGGAAGCCTGTACAAGACTGTAATCACTGAGTCGGAGCTTTTGTAATCTTCTTTTATTTCGTTTTCCAAACTATAATACTTTCAAGAATCACAGAGATCCTGCGGACGGTTTATCGCTGGAAAGAACCGCTTAGTTAAAGTTTGAACTTGTACACTAAAGATTATAGCAAGATTATACCTGAAACGTATTGACTCTCTAATCCCCAGGAAAATTCATCATTAAAAGGTAAAAAGACGAGTCTGCTCTATGGAAACCTAGAAACTAACAAAAGCAAGCTGGTTGCGAGAAGAAAAAGACCAGCCGAAACCCTTGCATATATATGACATGAGACTAAAAAGAAACATGAAGACAAAGAAGAAATGGTCTTTGTACACGCTATCTGAAGACAGGGGTTAACTTCAAATGAAGACGGGCACTCAGCGACAGAAATCTCGCCAGAATCGTTACACATTTGGCAAGCGATTCCCCATGATAAGTCTGACATTGCTCGAAATCTTCAACAGTTTTCGAAAAATTCTTTCTCCAACTAAAGCTTCGTACCAGGCAAGGCTGGAACTACTTCTGGATTCGTCACTCACTCAATTCACATTTTTACACACTCTACTAGTGAATGTAAATGTGTCCACGATCGCATGTCGCTAAAATCACGTCGTACTCAAACTTCCTTTACCTAATGACAACATGGGTGTTGCTAGGACAGTAAGCGAATTTACCGCTTTTCGCAGCGCGAGATTTTTTTTCGCTGCAGGAACCTCAGGTCCGCCACCGACCAGGGATCTGGTTGACGCCTCCGTGAATTTCTACCATGTCCTGTCCGCGAATTCAAAGCACAGCAGTGGAGAACGCGCTGGCTCGACTCAAATGCTATGAAGAAGAGAGAGCCCTAGACTAAGCCTTGTAGGGAGGGAGGGACTTCGAGGTGGGTGAGCCAACTACAGTGTGGCAAAAGTTTGAATGTGTGTGATCACAATGGTCATGAGCCGCTGATAAGGTGAGAGAGCGCAGACGAGAGATGGATCTGAGGCGGCTTAAGGACCGGGTTCAAGTAGTCCGTCAACCGAGGAACTGGGGCTTCCGCAAAAGTTTCGCGCTGCTAAAAGTTTAAAGGTCACTTTGCGAGCGAACACACTCCGAAAACATCGAATTCCGATAATTCTTGTCCAGTATTTAACATATTCATTGAAAAATGGCATGACAAGTGGTCCCCATACTCCCATTCACAGATTCATGCGCAATCTGGAGCAAGGATGCGGCGCACTAGTGTCCCACCCCACTTCCATCAGTACGATGAGCAGTTGGCGATTTTTTTTGTAAAGACAACATTCAAGTACCCCAAACAGCGAACCCTCCTATAAAGGAACTGATTAACCGGAAGTTTTATCACTTCTGCTATATAACTGATGGTGAGAATATACTTCGTATGTCTAAATTCAACAAATTTAGTGAGTTCTCCCATCACTCAACAGAAATAGAAGGAAATAAAATGAAAATAGGAAGCAATGTCGAGGAAAAGGCAGAATTTATACATGCACGACATCACTTAACACGATGTCGCAAGCGTTTAGGCAGCGACTTTTGCCATCTCGTCGAGGACGCTCCCTAGAGACGTCAGCAATTTACGGAGGCATTGGCAAATCGGCACAATCACCAGGATCGCACTTGTTGGTTTTCAATGCATTTCTCGCTGCACCGGCCAGCCCCTACACATCGAAGATAAACTTCCCTTTATAAAATTAGTATGCCCATCTAAAATCGACCAAGCCGCTACAAGAGAAATAGAGTCTTCTCTTGCGGTACCAGATCGTAGTACCGTTTCTTGTGACAAGAGTACCCGACATTTTGGGGAGATCGTGGCATTGAGTTGGTTTCTTCACACAATCCGGGGTAAACAACTCGGATATCTCCGAAAGAAGGTTGGGTGCACGGCGCGCAGCGAAGCACTTAACCAGCGTCCAATCTTTTCCATCTGTCCCCCACGTCAATTATATTTTGACAATTGATTTGAACTTCATGTAATGCCAGCAAAATGGGACTGTTTGCGGACCTCGATTGCAATCTCGAACTTCTACATAGCCTCAAGGAGTGGGAAAAAGGGATAGCTGACCGAATACACCTGACTGCTACTATAGCCACTCTCACGTGATCTCGTTAGCTGGTTAAGGTATCTTATGACTACAATGCTGACTGATAGTGCAGTTCATCGCAATACACGAAACACCCATAAAAATGCGAGGCGAAACTAGTTGAGCTTCTCTACCTTTCGAGCAATGTTCTGAAGAACAGGCGATTGTGCACTAGGAAATGTGCTCAAGAACATACTAAGATCAACCTACATGTAAAACGCACCACACATTTGATGCTGTGATTATGCACAAATATCAAAAAATTGTTTATAACTGCAGAAAAAAATTCACTAATCATGCAAAGCAGCACTACAATTCTTATCCAAATCGCATCCAAGGAAGAAAAACAGCGAAAAACTTAATGTGGCTAACGAAAATAAAGGCTCCCCGTTCTTGTCATAAAGTATTGTTTCTCAGCTACAGACATACGTTTCATTCCTTGCAAGAGAAAAAAAGCACATACTCATATTACAAGGCCTTAGAAAACTTACTGAAAAACACACAAAACAATATTAATCTCTGAAGTTATTACCATTACTGCCTTGTTGTAAAATTAAGTGATTGATTTGCACGGCTGTGTGTCGCTAGGAAACAAAGCCACTTTTCTGCTTTTTGCAAAGCCAAACTTGTCCGCTGCGGGAACCCTGGGTGCACGCCTGATCGCTAGTACACCTGTGGTCCCCGCAGTGGAAAACTTTGCGCTGTCCTAGCGACCCACACCCGATGTGCACTACTCCTTTAGAAGTATGAACTCGTCAAGCCAAATTTCCAAAAAAAAGGAAAATTACTACGAGAAAAATCTATGTATGATTATAAAAGCACCAAACAGAAATCTGGATTTCAGAATCCAGTTTGTCAAGTCACAAGCTCGATTCCACCTGTCATTGGCAACAGTATTCAAAACAACAAATGTTATAGTAGGGGTCAACGAGTTGCTACCTTTTGCCAGCGAGGCTGTCAGCAATTTTTGGAGCGCGTAGGAAACTCCATTAATGTTCACTTCAGCTTGCTTCTTTTATTTTCCGGACTTGGACTCCTTGGTTCAGTTTTGATGACAACATTTGTTCGTTTATTGTTTTCACCGCTCAGCTCCCTATTTACAGACTGTAACATGTGATATTATAAGCAACGAAAAGTGGTTTTCATGTGAGCTTTTCGATTTAGCTTTTAATTAATTCGCAGCAAGATTCAAAATACACGAAGTGGTTTAACTAAAAATTTTAGCTATACACTTTTTCGCGGCAGTTCATTCAGCGCATCTTCGCCCTGCACATTTAAAATTAGAAATTTCTCAGAAGTTCCTAAAGAGCAAAAGTGTAAGGATTGAAGAAAAAACCCTCTAGCTGACCGTACTCGTTCTCTGCTGTCTCGCGGCAACTCCATGGGAACGATTCTCCTGATCAACTGCTTCACGACGTTTACGCTTCATGAATTCAACAGATGAACGTGAAAAGATACGTTCGTCATCTTGAAAGTTTCTCTTCAATGATGCTGGATCTGTCTGCGATGGCAAAATTGAAAACGCAGCTCGATTCCATCCTGGAATATGAACTTTACGGTGCACATGCTTTTTTGTCGGGAAGACAATAGAATTAAATGAGAGGTTATTTCGAAGCTAAACTACAGATCGAGCGTTCGGTAAGGCTGATGTCAGAGTCCGCGATCCGTCGCAGGTTTCGCTGATTTTCGCGATTTGCGCGATTCACGCGACGGATCGCAAAAATTGCAAGTGTGTGAACATTTGAAACACTGAATATGAAACAAGTGGAATCATGAGCAGTCGTCATTCAGCCATCACTATCAAGCAGAAGTGGCGGCAGGATTGGAGAACACCTTGCAGTATTGATCGGGCACTTGTGATTTCCGTGACCCGTCGCGTGAATCGCGCAAATCGCGAAAATCAGCGAAACCTGCGACGGATCGCGGACTCTGACATCAACCTAAGACTGATGAAGTCGAAAAATCTGATCCCTCGTACCATTCCCCACAATAACACCCATCGTCTATAATGAATTGACGATGTTCTCGAGTACACAATCTTGTCACGTTTTATAGTACGCGTACACACGATTATGCGCTTCGGGATATCCACAACTTTACATGCATTTTATTCGATGCACAAATCCTCAGGTTGTATATGAAACATATAGTTAGATAATACGTTGCTCATTTTAGTTTCGGCTTCCAGTTCTCCTGCGTTCACAAGTCGACGCTGTCTTCACGCGCAGAAAGCCGCTCTGTCGTCAAGTTGACCTTAAACGCTTCCTGGCGCATACCTACTCACGTAAGAGCCATAAACTGTTAAGAAAAAAAATATATACATTGAGAATACCTTCCGCTTAGATCAGAGTCTGCTAGCAAATCTCCCCTCGACAAGCTAAATTGATTTTCAAATAGATCAGCTAAAATGATAATAAACAGTCAAAATGTCCACTATTTGCGACATCTCTCCAGAAGAAAATTTCCAGACAAACATTTTGCGGCAAATGCTCATTGAGAAAACAGCTTCTCTCCCCGGAATGTAAAATGGAGAATCGTTGCTAAACACATTGGCGACCGCGCGGAATATGCAAAGGGGGAGGAAGCGGGCCAAAAAGTCACTTTGCCCATGGCGCACATCATCGAACTTTTCGTCGCACAGGATGCCGCTGTTATGAAAGTTTTACGCAAATATTCCTTAGATGTCCCCCATAAGCAGAAGCAGGCCCTCCTTCACTGCCTCACCGTCTCAGAATATGACGTCATCTGCCATTACAGTCGAGCTCAAGGAGGCATACCGTAATCGAAGGGACCTATACGTCAGCAAATCGCTCCAGCCTGAAGCTGTCACATTATTTCTTCAGCCGATTAATCGATGAGTAGCTTTCAGAAGCATCAGCTCTGATTATGCAAGACTTCTTCCGACCACCCTTTCGGATAAAGTCGTAATGGCCAACGATTCGTCGAGACTTAGTTGAGTTCGAACAGGTTCCCGTGAGAGAATCCTTCGATGCCGTCGATGTAGAAGGCTACTATGAAGTTTTCTGATAAAATGAAATGTGCTCTTCAATTTCAGGTTGGGACCACTCGAGCCGAATTAGGCAAAGTGTAATTATTCCGTTTTAAATATGTAAAGTGAGTGAATCTCTTTTATTGCCCCATCCCCATCCCCCCGTATATCCCGAAATTTTCTATTGGAAAGGACTCGCTTTGCTCACACCTAAAAGGTTCCAAGGCTGTCCAAATGCATGATTGGATGCGGAATATCTTATACTCATTACCAGTGGTGAAATTGTTATGGATCACGTCGGAGAATTGCTGGATCGCCAACCAACTATTCGCGGACTCAATTTCACAATTTCCAGCGGAGAAATAAAACGGACTCTAGTCACTTAGCCATATTCACCGTGATAAAACCGAGTGTCAGTAAAAATCGCACAACTTATTGTTTTACCTCGACATTCTTCACTTCAGGTTATCCTAAGCAGCTATGGATAAATTCATTTGGCAAAATGAGCGCTTTCAGTGTAGTGGTTTTGTCGTTTAACCTGTCGTTTGCTATTTGTTTCAGTTACTTTTGTATGATAGCGTGAGCACTAGTTTTGTTATTTTCGAAATAAAAATCTCCTGGGAAAACCAAAAAACGGAGGTGCAATGCCTGCATTTCTTTGCAAAAAACGAAAGCAGACTTCCCATGGGACTTCAGGGCACCTCAGCTCATTTTCAGTTTGTGGCGAAGTGGCGATATATTTTGACGCCGTGTTCATGCCATTTTTGCTATTTCCTAGGTAAACAAGGAAATACGTATCACCGATGAAGCTTCACCGATCGACCCGTGTGAAGTGAGCAACTTTATATAGTGGTTTGGCAATGCAGCTACAGTCAATAACCAACTAAAAACGTCAACGGTAATTGTGTCTGCGTGCCTTCAATAGAAATACCACTTCATAATCACTTCACTGTGCAGAACAGAAGAAGAATGTGTGAGCAGATGTAGAAAAATACAAAGTACAGCTAAAAATAGAAGAGACCACAATAAAAAGAAAGGAAATGGTATAGGTACCTCAACTTCTGTTTTCTTAGCTACTAACTTCTCCAGTTTTCCAGGCGACGATTCCCTGGTATTCTCAGACTCTTGGATAGTGGAAACACCTTCGGCCATATCCTTGAAAAACACACACTGATTAAGGCTATTTGCACGGGTACAAAGTATTAGTCTACTCATAAAGCCGCAATAAGTTACCAACACTGACGACCAAAAAAACTTGCTTTGAGGCATGAGGGTGGAGTGGATGCGATCGAACCTACCTACCGTCAATTTCCGCTTACCGCACTCGATGAATGCTTTACGAAACTTTTTCGCTCCGGGAACCCACTTGTCAGTAGTGGCGCCGGGGTTCCTGCAGCGAAAAGTTTCGCGCTGCGAATTCGCCTTGTCCTAGTGAACCACACCCGAGGCATGGGGTCTCGGGTGTGGTTCACTAGAGCCCAGACGAAAGAGGAACATTATACAAAGGTGGCTAGGGGAGGCGGGTGTAGGCGCGGCCAGCGTGCGCGTGCAGGGTGAAAATCGTGTCGAGTACGTGGTCGCAGAGGTACGACCCCCCCCCCCCGAAATCGAGATCCTGGCACGACCCCCTCTAACAGAGCAAATTAATTCAATTAAAATAAATCCTGCAAAACAAAAATCAAAAAAATCAAAACAATCAAAAAAAATTCTGCAAAATAATGCTAAGGACGCTTCATCTTGTCATCTATGCACGTCTCCATCGCTGCATACTTTTGTGTACATACTGAAATATCGACTCGAGGAAAGAGGCATTAACTTTGTGTGACCTCAAGGCGAGGTTCGTTCAGAAACGCACAGAAATCCTGAAGACACGGGGTTGCGATTCAATCTTGATTCTTGCTTGAGTATATCAAAACAGCCGAGTGTATCAAAGGCCGATTCAACGGCAGCTGCGGCGCGATTGTCACTGGGTCAGATTTGCCGAAATTTCAAAAAAAACGTCCGAATCTACACCCTCGATGAAAAGGTTGCATTCCTCCATTTCACAACCTTTGAAGCAGCTTGAGGTAGAGTTAGATAGAGCTGGATTTCGCGTTTCCAACAAGCATCGAAATTGCTCTGGAAGCCTTCCTTGCAGAAAGATAGGGTCTGTCAAATTTCGTCGAGTAAATGTCGAGGAGGCCGAAATTTTCACGCGAGTTTTTGCCACTTCAAGAGCAATATATCTCTTATATTGTAAGATCCTGAAAAAGGGAAGATAGTTTTGGAAAGCGGAAGGTTTGCGCTTCCTGATGGTCTGTTTAGTTTTCTTCTACAGCTTTTTGGTTGAAGAGATAATTGCGTCGAGGATCTATCGAGGTCGGATCCGGCCACCTGGAAATCCGCTCCCTCATTCACCATTGCAAGTGTGACTCGTTGGCAACACTCGGAATGTGTCTAGAACAATATCTTTGAACGCAAACAATAAGAATAGGAGCAATCGTCATCATCCGATTTGGTATTGGTATAAGCCATGCATCCCTCCTCCACTCACAGTTGCAGAATCGATTGAAAGGTGTTATATGATGGGGACCTTCGAACGAAACTGTATTGTAGTAGACATAGTGTGTTGTGCTATTCCTGTAACCTAAAAAACAACTTCATTTGCCCAGCGCTTTTTCTTCACGGTTGTCGTTTTTCCGACAGGGTCCCTAACAACAGCGTCATTCTCAGCGAGGTATTAAGGGAGAAGGAGCGAGTGATAGGCGGAGGAGGTGCCTTTGCAGCGCGTGCGCACATGTGGCACTCTTCTTTGCGGGGATGCACTTTCATTCTTTGTACTGCCTTCAAATACGCCCTTCTCATGAAGGTGGAGGAATGGAGCGACTGAACCTGCAAAGAAAATTTAATATCATGTTTTTTTTCAGATATTTTCATTTTCTGCTGCGCTATACCCTCTTACCTATCTGCACCATGATACCACTTCTGTTACTGACCCCAAGAGTACGACCCCCCATGGACCAGCCCAACAGGTACGACCCCCCTGTCGAGGATTTCCTCGACCGATATTCACCCTGGCGGTGTATTCGCGCTCTCTACTGCAAAATCGGGAATTTGCGAGAATGCAGGCAGTCCAGGGGGTTTAAAGCTGCTTTCATACTTTGCGCGGGCGGTGAAGAGGGTCAGTACGCTGCCGCATGAGGCATAATTGGCGAACAGTCGTAAAAAGAAAAAAGTATGAGCAGAACACACACGAATGAAAGCAACGCGGCACAGAAAAGTAGAGGGGATACACCGAAACCAGGTTTATCGATTGGAAGGCGCCGACTACGCGCCAAGTACGCGTCATGCGCCAGTGCGCGCCTCTCCGCACCGTCCGCACCGACCGCACCGGCGCAAAGTATGAAAGCAGCCTAACTCCGAACGTGAACATGTGGTGCGACAGTTGCCGCCGCCTACAAAGTTCCGACTTCTGCAAGGAGAGGAAATTCCCGGGGGTGCGTGAATCATTTCGCTTCCATTAGCCATCCCAGAACTTCTTTCCCCTGCAAAACTGGATTACTTTATGAATTATCGCACCACATGCCCCCTACTCATCCTTATTGGATGGTACTCCACGTGGGTATGGAGGGTGCTTTGAGTCAACTTATATGCGTGGGAAGCTGGAATAAGGGAGTTTACGCTATCTTGCGAACGTGCCTCACACCGCGGTGGTGACTTGATTGCATTCACGCGAAATCTGACATCCACCTCATAGTTTAATCGGACCGATCGCATGTGATTAGGCGAGTCCATGAATTTGGGTACTCCCCAGTAGGCCCGTCGCGCGACGAAATCAGAGACGCAGGCGCGGCAGAGGACGAGTCGCACCGCATACTGTAGCGGTTAGGCGTCAAGTTCAATATAACGCATTACAGTACGTCCCACATCCATTCATTCCACGGCGTGGGCTCAAAAATGCGATACCTGCAGCCGGGTGCAGCAAGCCCCAACTTGGGGATGGGTCCTCGAAACTGCGTGTTTTCTATTCGATGACGCAACTCTCATGGTCAAGAATAGGGGAAGCGTCCAGAGATGCAAAGCTTTGGGGACCCATCCCCGAGTTGGGGCTTGCTGCATCCGAACGCCAGAGTTCATGATTCAAGGCCAGAGACTGTACACGTGCTTTGTTTCCCGCGAGGTGTACGACGTGGCACACGTGCCTAGATTTCGATGAATAGATGATATCGCATTCGCGTGTCATGAAAGATGCCCTTGATTTGATGACAAATTAATGCCACGTCAATTTCTGCAATTGAAGTGCGAAAAACTGACCAGGTAAGGCATTCGATCCCATTGAACTTCGAATCAAGGCGCAGATACTAAAATATCATGAAAACCTGATGACAAATATTAAAACTAAACTGCAAAATGATCTTGCCAAGCAATCAATGTCATTCGGAAGTAAAACGTCTTATATGGAGCGTGGAAGGCTGATGTCATAGTCCGCGATTTGTGTTAGCCGAGTAACCCCTCCTCGACGTTGCAGCGTTCGCTGGGGCGCGCAAATGTCAACAGTGTCATTCGATTTCCAATGGTGGTTTTCGCGGCACACACTTTATCGTTTTGCTTCTGAGATCTGCGTTCTCTCATACAAGAAGAGATATGCGATCGCGAAGCGATTCCGCCAACTAATGGCTAAGACACAGTCGATCTCAAGAACGCGAAAGGATAGGCACGCGCGGCAACGGTTTGGCCTCACGTATGGATGGAGGAGGCGAGAGATATAAGCACGATGAGGGGATACTCTCACACCTGCTTCCCTAACAACGCGGAAGACGACCGTTGGTGGGGACGCAATTCGAGCCTCGCCGCGCCCAGAGCGGTAAAGGCGAATGTTCACCGCGAACGCTGGACTTTAATAACCAATTTTTGGACGCTGCATCGAACGGTGTAGCTCGTTTGATCGTATTCCTCCGCAAAAAAACCTGTAACAACGTGTATCGCTCTGAGCGGAAGGAATGCGGGTGGACCTTGGCGCCCTGAGGCGCTACAATGATGTGGGTTAAGCTGTATACAGCGCTTATACGATGTTACGTATATATCCCACCCTGCGCCGGTGCAATTGCGTACCGCAAGCGATTACAGTACGCCCACGCCTAGTTCTACTGGCGTTGACATTTGTAACTGATGATCACAGGCGGGGCTCGTGATGAAAGGAAATGGGAAGACTAATCAATTCATAACTAGCACAGCTCCGAATATTGTACTGAGTCGAGCCATGCATTTCTCCTTTCAGATAGGTGACGGGTACCGAGAGATGCTCTACATATCGTTGGAAAACCATTGCGCGCCTGGAAACCACTCTAATTCCTCATGTCATTTACTTCTTAACATGCAAAATAGGGTAATGTGCTAGTATATTTATAATGTTCCGCACTAGAACAATCATTGATGCCATTATGCATTGTACCAGTGCAGTGAGGGACTCGAGGGGACGAAGTTTACTTGGCACCTGAGGGAAGAGAGAGTTCTAATTCGTGAGGTAGTTTTCATCATGAACTGCTTAGTAGTTGCGTCTCACGGCCACCTTGTTTTCGAGTTGGTAGTTGATTTATTCGCAATTGTAGATATTTCCATAGACATAGAAATCTGATACGGAGGTATCCTTGTGAGGATGACTTGTGCTGAAAGTGAGAGCGCATACTTGTAGATGATAGGCACGGGATATGTTCATTCTTTCTGTAAAAGATGCCGTAAAATGTAATTCAGTTCCATTGGAGATAATCCGCTTACAGGAGCGTTTGCGTTACCGTTGCGAATCAATTTCTTGAGGCGCTAGTGTACTCAAAAGGGGCATGCTGCCGCTGACTGAGCCTTGGAGAAGAGGGTGAACTTTGAGGGTAATGAAAACTGCTTACACATCCCCCTAGACTCATTAAAAACAACAGACTCACAGCTTTAGTACGCGAGGACAGCAGGGGTGGGAGAGGAGCATGATGACTTGCGGCGCTTTTTATTTCGCCACTCTGTGTGTGGGACTTTTAACAAGGCTTTTCTTGTGACCGTTATTGGAAGTTTCGTAAGCAGTTCTTCACAGTAAGCTGTGAGCAAAAGCTTAACTATTGCGCTATAAATGGGAAAACTGTTCTCCACGATTCCAATCATTTTGCATTAAATGTTATGTTCAGTGTTCGCTTCCACTTTTGCTGGATAGGAGATAGGAATTTTTTATATCCACTACCACAAATATTCACTGCTGACGTCTCGAAGATATATGCAAAAAACTGCTAGACTAGATATAAGTCATCTAGTCTTATTATTTCCTCTCATCACAAGTTCTACCCGTAGTTATTCAATCGAAAACAGGGTGCCAACGATAGCGGAACTAGCCGTGAGAGTACTGTAATCGCCTGCTGGGGCGGTATTCAATCCTTCCCCCAGGGGGATATATCCCCCTCCTCTGATTCAATCCTCTGGGGGGACAAAAAAGGGTTGCGTCATAGGACCTAGCATACCTCTGTGTTTCTACCTGCCAGACAGTTAGAGCAGCGCTACTACCCTCCACTGATGAAGCACTCTTTTCCCTGAGGGGTCGCGCTGCTCTAACTGTCTGGCAGGTAGAAACACAGAGGTATGCTAGGTCCTATGACGCAACCCTTTTTTGTCCCCCCAGGAATTGAAGAGGATTGAATCAGAGTAGGGGGATATATCCCCCTGGGGGAAGGATTGAATACCGCCCTGATACGGAATCGCAACGGGCGCAGGGTGGGATAATACTAACATCCTTATGTTCTGAACTTATAATCTTGTATTGTCGCGATTTGCGCGAAAGCTTGCAAGTGCCCCATTTGAACATTTGAAACACTGAATATGAAACAAGTGCAATCATGAGCAGTCGTCATTCAGCCATCACTATCAAGCAGAAGTGGCGGCGGGATTGGAGAACACCTTGCAGTATTGATCGGGCACTTGTGATTTCCGTGACCCTCGCGTGAATCGCCGCGAAA